CCAAGATTGCCCAAGACGGCTCAAGAGGCTATCAAGATAGCCTCAGAACAAATCAAGACGTCCCAAAGACGACCCAAAGAGGTCTCCCGGAGGCTCTCCTAAATGGCCCGAGGAGGCCAACACCATTGACTGTCCATGGGCGTTTGACAGATGTTCAGTGTCTCACCTGTTCAGGTTTCCGACCGCCCAAGGCGGCCCATGAAACGTCCAAGCGGCCTCCAAAATAGCTCCAAGACAGCCCACGTCGCCCGCTAGAGGGCCCGACGTCGGCCCACGAGCCCCCCGAGAATCCCCAGGGGGGCTCCCAGGAGGGCCCCAAGACGGCCGCGAGCCGCTCCAGGAGGGCGGACCTCCGAGAGTTCCTCTTGCTGCGATTTGTTTCTGCGAGGCGACAGTCTTCAAGGGGCCCCAGAACACACAAATAAATACACACAAATAAAAATATCCCCCATATTTTTCCATATTTTCTGGGTTTTTGTCTTCCCCACCACTTCCCATATTTTCCCATATTTTCCTGGGGATAGACGATTAATTGTGTCTGTGTGTTTCTTCCCCTCCTGAAATCTGTCCATGACCACCGTCTGGGGGATCGGGCGTCGGGGGCCTCGGCGCGCGGCGGATGCTGAGCGGGCGCACGCCAGAATGACCAACCAGGGATCCGTGGACCCGGCGCGTTGGCGACACATCCAGGGATCCGTGGGAGGCACCCTCGAAACATTGAGTTAACATGCAGCCTGATTTGGCGGCGGAACGCGCCGATTCTTCAGGGAGGCGGGTCCCCTCGTGAATTCACGCGCCCTGATCCATGTTGGCGGTTCCGCGAATGGATGCAGTTGGCCCCCCAGGGACCAACTGAATCCATATCCACCGTCCACCCCTGCGTCCAAGCTCGTCCCCCCAGGTGGTTCTGGAGAAATCCTTTCGAGATCCGTCCTTGGGAAAACCAAAAGGTACCGATACTGCTACTGCTCAGACCTCCCCCAGAGCGCGTTCTGACTAGAAAAGGCGGGAAGGGTAACGGCATGAGAACATTTTCCTCCTCTGACTCTGAGTCCCTGCCGACCCCCCTCCCCAGGGAGGCGGGATGCCGCCCGGCCTCGGAGACGCTGGCCCGCTGCCAGGCCCGCTGGCGGAGCCCACCGGGCGCGGCGGCGACGGGGGTCGCTGGTCCAGGCTTCCTTCGCAAGGGAGGGGGAGAATACCCTCGACCTGCTCCTTCCGCACCTTTCGCGCGGCAAGTGCCGCCGCGATGCCGGCGCTGCGGCTGTCGCTGCAGCCTCGACGGTGCTCGCCGCTGTGGCTGCGGCAGCAGCCGCGGCAGCGCGGTACCTGCCGCGCAGAAGGTATGGACGGAGCAGGTCGAGGGTACGAAGCTGGGTGAGCCTTCATGGGAGCCTCTGTGGACCTCCACGTGGCCTTATCATACATGTGACTTCGACTGGAGTTCGACCATCCCTGTCCACCTTGTCGTCTAGATTTCGTCCAGAAGTCGAGCAAATCCGACAGAATCCAAACGAAATCCCGAAAACGCAACTACTTGTGACACCCTGCGAGGCTCCCATGAAGGACAAGAGGCGACCCCTGCACGAATCAGGACGGCGGCAGTTTCGTCGCTCTCGGCCCAACGGGGCGGGTTTCGGGTCCCTGGGCCGTCAGCAAACACGACTCGGTACCAAAAAGCTGGGACGCCTGGGGCTCCGCCAGCGACAAGACATCGGATGTACGCGAAGGGGTGGAGGTTCGAGGTTCGGAAAAGGCCCGAGATCTTGCACGATTCCCTTCCTTTTGAGCCTCAAGTGGGCTTCACGACGCCACGGCTGGATTCCCCTCGGAGCTCTGGCCAGAGCACACGCCTGGACAAGCCTGCGCCCTCGCGTAGACCGAACCGAACAAAAACCGCGGCTTGCAACCTGTGCCTGTCTTTCTGCCTCAGGGGTCCCTCACCGGAGACCCGGGGGGTCCTCAGCAAACGACTCGGGATGCAACACCAGCGGCGGGGAAGGGGCCGAGACCTCTGGGGCCCACGCTGTGAAGAAATCGCGGCGCACCGGGGCCTCCCAGGCAAGATGTCCGGCTCTGGCGACTCTGTGCTGACCGACGCTGCTCGACGCTGGACGTCGCGAACGGACATTGAACCTGCGCCGTCTCATCGCTTGCCACATGCGAGCGCAAAGCCAGCGCACTCTACACCCTGCGAAATGCTTAAGAAATCATGGGTTAAGAAATTCATAGTCTCAGAACTTGAATTTAAACCCAACATTTCTATTAAAATCTTAGGATTTACATTGAAACGTTAAGAATAATCGAGACTCTGGCCGAAAACTCAAGTTTTCTTAAGCATCGCCTAAGGTGTACAGCATGACCTTTTAGAGGAGAGGCAGGGCTCCCATGAGTTGCCACACCTCTCATAAGAGGCCTCTGGAAGACGCCACGCAGCATATCGAAATCAACTTTCCAGAGGCCTGCGGGGATCCCCTCGGTCGGTGCAAGACCCGCCAGGGCGCCAGGACGAGGGGGGTGTGAGGGGGGGGGGGGGGGGGCAGCCCCGATACAGGCAGTCCGCGCGCACCTCGCTGTCTCGAAGGCCAACCTCCGCTGTCTCGAGAGGCCCTCCGCCTCTTGCTTCGCCGTTTGCGCGCAGCGCGGACGCCTCCGTGGCTCCCGCGCGGAGCTGCTGTGGAGAATCGAAGCCCCTTCGACCATGAGAGAGCCCGAGAGCCCCCTGCAGTTGAGCCTGCGGGGTGGGGTTATGGCGGGGGGCTTAGGCAGCGCTCCGCGGCTGCTCGCAGCCCCTTAGGCAACTCCTGGGAAGTCCTCCCTCGACCTGCTCCTTCCGCACCTTCCGCGCGGCAGGTGCCGCGCTGCCGCGGCCGCAGCGGCGGCCGCTGCGGCCTCCTCCGTGGGTCGACACAAAAACCTCAAGCTGTTGCCCAGGACCCACATCTGATCATGAGTACGTTTACTGAAGGCCCAGGGGCCCGGCAAGGGCCCCGAGAGGCCGAAAGCGACGATCCGAAACGACGCGGGAAGGTCTTTGAAGGCAGCTGCTCGCAAATCGAATGGATCACATCAGCCAATGAAGGGGGCATCTCTCGTCTCCCTCCGTTTTGTGAAAAGCCACATGGCAGACACACATTTTTGTCACAGCGATGGCGATAACACTCCGAGTTCGAACCCTGAGCGGGGCAAGTGCTAGGCGCATTGCGCATCAGGTCGCCAAGCGGCTGGGGATTAGGTAAACCTGTGAGGCCAGAGCTTAAACATCACATCTACCGCCTCGGAAGCCGAGGCACCCTCAAGACCCCAGGAGGCAGCGGATGGAAACATATTCAGAACCCTCGGGACCATGGCGCAAAGAAGGAGTGCTAGGGAGGGGAGAGGGCAAGGAGGGAGGGAAGACGGGGAGGGAGGGGGGACCTGCTGGGCCTGGGCAATGAACAAAGATCAATGCGGGGGGCGGCCGAATGGCCCCACGAGGGCCCCGAGAGACTCCAGACACCCACCATTGCCCGAAGACGACCCAAAGAGGACCCTCAAGCGGCCTTCAGAACACAACAACAGATGGATCTCCCATGAGTTTCGCATTATTCTGGAAATGCGGGCGTCCGAGACAGCCCGGGAGGTCCGAAACTCGCCCCACGACTACCCACAAGAGCCTCCAGGCAGTCCAAAAGAGCACCAAGACGGCCCAAAAGGGCTGCCCAAGGTGGCCCTACGACCCCCCCCCCCCGAAGCACTCTAAATCACAACCCGGTTGCTCGGAGAAGCCCCCAGAGGCCCCCAGAAGGGGCCCCCAGAGGACCCCTGGAGCCAAAATGGCCGCAGAAGGCCTCCTGTGCGCCTTCTGGGTGCCCTTGGCGGCTTCTTCGGGCCACCATGCTTCCAACCGCGGGGATCTTCTGACCCGGGTCAATCCAGACCCGGGTCAGCAGGAAACCAAAAACTGCAATGCAGGGAAAAAAACTGCAACGCAGGTCCTCGCAAACCCGGGTCAGCCAATGGGCGCGGCCGCCTCGCGGCCACGAGCGGCTCCCTGACCCGGGTCAGCCAGAGGGGGTCTTTGCAGGATCCTGCAGGATCCGGCGCCGTGGCTGACCCCCGTTTGCACTGACCCCCGTCTCGAGGCCCCCGACAACCGGGTCTCGAGGTCTCCCTAACGACCGGGTCACGATTCAAAATGCTTCGAGGGGCATATGGGGGCCAGCGTGGACCGTTGTGGGCTCTCTTCGAGCCGTGTTGGGGCCCTGCCGGGCCGCCTCGGGGTATTTTGGGAGCGTCTGGGAACCTTTTGGGGTCCCTATAAGGCGATCTTCCAGCTTCTCGAGCGGTCTCGGACGCCCAACAAAAACACAACAATAGATAGTACAGAGAATCACGCGAACAACAAGGTCAAAGTCAAGCCTGTATGCCCGCGAAGGGGCGGCCGCTCAGGACACAGGCGGAAAAGGACGCAAACGACACAGGAACATTCATGTTTATTTCCGTTTGAAGAGCCTTTGGGGGATCTTTGCGTCGTCTTGACGCGTCTGGTGGGTGTTTGGGGCCGTTGGGAGCTCGCGCTGGGCAGTTCGGCTGCCTTCTCGACCGATTCGGGCGCGTTGACCAGGCCCAGCAGGGGTGTCCAGGAGCCCTGGGACAGCCGGGGGGGGAACCTCTGCACCCAGGACCAGAGAGTGGTGTGGGGGTCCAGCGTGTATGAAGATAGAGATACAAAGCCCTTTTCTTCGGCTGCGCTGGCTTCCAAGCGGGTGCGTTGGGTGGCACGGAAGTGCGAGGGCGCTGGCATCCCCTGCGAACGGCGCCCAGGTGCATCGAACATGCAGATGCCTTATAATAGCACTCCGCGCTCTTTGAAACCAACTTGTGAGACAAAGGCTGGGTGGATTATGGCAAGTTCGTTTCGTGAAGACTCCGGCGTTGGTTTCTGACACTGCGTAGATCGCTCAACCTTGAACGATCAACGGCTTTTCGATCCAAATTGTGCCGCATTGTCCGATTCTGGGCCACTGGCGGCGTTCAACCTTGAACGCTCTCGGCGGGGAGGTTGCCGCGTCGACACGACATGAACCCACCGTACTCGGCGTAGACCAACCTTAATCGGAATCAGCCTGTACGGAGGGAGACTCGGGCTTCGCGCAGACCTTGCAACCGGCCCCGTTCACGTCCTCGCGGCAAGCCGTAGCAACATCGGCGTTAGGGCAGCACGGACCTGCAGTCTCCTCCTGTGCACATAGCCAATTAAGCATCTCCTGCAAGCAGTCAGTGTAAGACCAACAGTACGCACCCCCTGGCACATGGCAAGAGCTATGAAAGCCGTCCGAATCAAACTTGCCGCCCCAAAGAGAGGAAGCAAAGGTCGTCGCTTTGGCTGTCCAACTCGACGCGTACTTCTTATCACCGCCAAAGGGATACGCTAGCATCTGAGCGGCCACACGCGCACACTGCGGGTGCACCTCGCATTTGGCCTCGATCCGATCGCACTCCCAACCTCCGTTGTCCAAAATCCCAGGTTTGTCGAAGCCGGCAGCAGCATAAACAGCTGGAGCCTGCGCAAGCAACTTCCAATCTTGTTCGCTGGCTACCTCTCGAGCCTCTTCGACTGCGCTTAGAATAATGGCAAGCGTCTCGTTCTGGACCTGGATCTCCTTGATATTGCCGGGAATGGAGTACGTCCAATTGGAGCAGTCCTGAAGGCCATCGCCAGCTGCCGCGCAGCTGCCCCTGAGGCTCCACTCCCACCTCCCGTCACCGAACGCCTTCAGCCCAATTTTGGGAGGCGTCCTCTCCAAAGACTGCCGCACGGCCGCCCAGAGTCCAGCGCCGGACTTGGACGCATACTTCGAGAGCGAGTGGAAGACCCAGTCCAGAAGCTCCTCGACTACCGCCTGGGTCACCGGGGTGGGACTCACCGACCGGCTGCTGCGGGACTCGCGGGCCGATACTCGCATCACTGCGGTCTGGTCCTCGTGGCCGGTCGCGTTGCTCACGAACCTGACGCTCAGCTCTGACATCTTCTCGAACTCGTCCTGCAAGGCCTGAAGAATACGGGACTCCGCTGCGCCTACGGCCTCCAAGCTGAGACAGCCCAAGGAAGCGGCCTGCTCCTGCAGCTTCGCGTACTTTTTCGTCCTCGCGCTCGTCTGCGACATGATCTGCAGGAGCTCCCCACAGCCCTTGCGTTTTGGTGCCTTGCCACGCTTGCCGTGCTTTGGAAGCTCCTGGTCTGCAAACACCATGAATGTGTGGTAGATCTTTCCTCCACCAACTGTTCCCAAAAGGGGCACGTCGACTGACGGGTACTTCATGGTCTTTCCGTGGAGAGTGTATTCTGAAGCGCACACGGTCGGAACCTCCATCGTTCCTTCCAACAACCCTGCTGTCCACGGAGTGAAATCGAGAGATGTGCGAAAATCCATCCATCTCTCGGCCCACTTTACCTTGTTGGTGTTACCTCCGTCCTGCGCAACTCGCATCGCCACTGCGAGCTTCGCCTGCCAAGTGTCATTGGCACGTTGCTCAACTGTCAGAGCCGGTATCGCTCTGGCTGCCAGCGCCCGCCGCAGCACGAAGGACATGATGTGCGCCCGAAGAAGCCAGCGCATGCTCATGACGCAGGGCATCGGAGACTCGACGTACGATGTACTTCTCAACTGACGAAGAAGGCGCAGAAGGAACTCTGGCCAACAATTTGCTACAACTTGAGCTGCGAACTGGGCGGTACTCTGATGGTGACAACGTAAAACGATGGTTCGGTTTTTTTCTGAATAACGGAAAACCCTTGACTCCATTAACGTCTCAACGTCCTCATTCTTTCTCTTCATCGACACTATCCGTACATGAATGATATATGCATGTGTTTGTCTCTGCCCTACATTTCTCATACATGAAAAGGTAGTTTCAGTTGCGGTTGCCTGCGCGTGTTCCCATCACTCCAAACCTCGCATCGATGAGTCATTCAAGGGAGAACTGTCGATATGGGCCCCTGACAACCTGGGAGACCAACAAGGTCCCCCACACACACACACACACACACACACACACACACACACACACACACACACACACACACACACACACAGACACGAATCCTAACTAGACCGCGACACCTCGCTCCCATGGGCACTGCAAACCGTAAGCGCTCGTCATCTTCTGGTCACATGGGAAGCCACAGGTTGCGGCGTTAGAAACTGACCCAAACAGGACCCTTCGCCGCCAGGGAGCTGCAGCCAGCAAAACACAAGCTGGTTTCGAAAAAGTTGGGGAGTCCGCGCGACACGCGGCGCAAAATGAGACTTCACCCCCGCGAGGTGCTGCAAACCGTAGACTTCTCGCCGCTTCCGGGCCCCCTGCGAAGATCAGCGAAACGGCACAAGGATCAAGATGAGACCTCGCCCTCGCCACCCTGGGCGTTTCAAGGTGTAGACCCGTCGTCACTCCCTTGGCCTGTGACCCTACGAAGTCCAGCGGGGCGGCGCGGCGCGAGAACCCAGGAAAGCGACGTGAGGAAACGGGTCTTGCGCGAGATGACATGGCCACCTAACGCGGTGGCTTACGCGCGCAACCGGCACGACACGCTACGTTGGAGACGCGGGCGTTTACGCGGGTCCTTCCGCGAGCAGCTTGCGCACGAACGTGGCGCAGAAGACCTCGTGGAGGTGAGACCTCGCCCCCGCGGGTGCCCAGTGACACGTCCCGACCCCAGCGAGGGGCCGAAAGGGCAGAGCGGCAGACGTGGCATCCGTGACCTTGGCGTTGTGTCCACTGCAGGGCGAGGCCGCCGCTGCGCGGTGACTGGCGCGCGGACTCGGGTGGCGGCGGGGCGGTTCTCCCGCGTCGCCCGGCTGCCCGTCGGCTTCCGGCAGCGCTGTTTGCTCGGCGCGGCGGCTGGCACGGCCGCAGGCATGTACGGCGCCTCGTGCGGCCGGCCTCCTGAGCGCGAGATGGCCAGTCTGCGGTCGGCCGCGCGGCAGGCCGTCTGCCGGGGCGGGCTGCGGGCGGCGGCCGAGATCGTTTTCGGCGTGCTCAGTCCGAGCACGCCGAAAACGATCTCGAAGAGGAGGAGGAGGAGGAGGAGGAGGAGGAGGAGGAGGAGGAGAGGAGGAGGAGGAGGAGGAGGAGGAGGAGGAGGAGGAGGAGGAGGAGGGCGGCACGGGAGCTGGCGCCTCGAACCCGCCGCGGTCGCCGCCCTTGCCCCGCTGTGGCAGGCGGCGAAGGCGCTGCGCCGCCCGCGCTCGTCGCTGGAGCTCTGGCGTGACCTTGCAGGCGCAGTGGCTGCCGGCCCCGGTCGCCAGCAGGGGGCCTTTCGCAGCTGTGCGGCGGAGCGTGGCCGACCTCGGCCTCGGCGGCGACAGCGAGTGCTGGCAGGGCGTGCCGTGGGACCCCGACGGCTGCCGTCTGGGCGAGCGCCCTCTGCAGGACACCCGCGCGGCCTTGCTGGACGCTTGGGCACGGCGCGTGGCTCGCGCGTTGGCTTGGCGGCGCGCCGACCTCAGGCACGTCACGGACGGCCTCGACCGCTGGGCCACCCGACGCGCTGGAAAACGAGGAGCTCGCGCCGGACGCGGCCGGCGCCCTGCGCGCGGTCCTCACGGGCAACGTCGTCACCGAGACGGTGGCCGCGAAGTGGGGCCGCCACTCGCGCTGCCCGCACTGCGGCGCTGCGGACGAGACGCGCGAGCACAGCTTCTGGAGGTGCCCCAAGTGGCACGAGGTCCGCCGCGCCGAGTTGCGGGCGGGAGGCTTGAGCGAGGCCGCCCTGCTGGCACGCCTGCCCCTGGGGGTCGAGCTCTACGGAGTGCTACCCACGGACGCTCGCCTGGCCGCGCTCGCCGCGCTGGCCCAGCAGCAGCTGCCGCCGCCCCCGCTGCCGCCCCAGGCCGTGGCCCCTGGGCAGGTCCGAGTGCGGGCGTGGAGCGACGGAGCTTGCGAGCACCCCTCCGATCCGTTGCTGGCCCAGGCCGGCTGAGGAGTGCGCTTGCAGGGGCCCAACGGGGTGTCGCGGCGCTGCAGCGGGCCTGTCGGCGGGGTCCAGACCTCGCAGCGCGCGGAGCTCACCGCGGCCGTGCACGCCGTCAGCGAGGCTGGGGCCCCCTTGGAGCTGGTCTCCGACTCCAACTACGTGTGCCACGGGATCGTGGCGCTGCATGCCGGCGCGCGCCCCCGGGAGTGGACGCACGCGGACCTATGGGAGGTTCTGACGCCGCATTGCCAGAGCGGCTACGTCGCAGCGCGATGGGTGAAGGGGCACCTCGGCGAGGAGGCCGCGGCGGCCCGGGGCGTCGCCCAAGAGGATCGCGCGGGCAACGCGGACGCCGACGAGCTGGTGGGGGCCGCGGCGCGCGTCCAGCTCCCCCCGTCGGGCCTCTGCACGCAGCGCCAAGTGCGGCTGCACGTGCTCTGGGTGCTCCAACGCTTGCGGGCGGCCGTGGAGCTTGCCGCGCTTCGCGCGAACCACGAAACCGCGGGGCCAGGGGGTCCCCGGGTGCGCCGACGCTGGGCGGGTGGCGCCGCCGCGGCGGGCTTTCCCTGCCCACGCCGACCAGCAGCGCGGGCCACTGGCGCAAGCGGCAGCGGCAGGCGCGCCCGCAGGACGGCCGCCCCCCCGCCGCCCTCGGCGGCCGAGGGTTGCTGGGCATGGGCTGCCACAGCGAGGCGCCGCCGAGGCTGCCAAGGCCTTGTTCGAGGGCGGCGCTTGGGCGCCGCACATGGCGTCGCAGGGCCCCTGCTGGGTCGCCTGCCTCCAGTGCGGCGCGGCGGCCCCGCGCTGGCCGGCGCTGGCGGCCCGGCCATGCCCTGGCTGGGCCGTTTCGCTGCCGCCCCGCGCCGCCGCGCTGAAGCTGAAGCTGCGGAGCGGGCTGGGGGGCCGGTGGCGGCTTGGCGCGCCGCGCTCCGACGGCGGCCCGCGACGCAGGCCGGGCCGCCGGACTGAGGCTAACGCTGGCAGCTCCGGGCTCAGCTGCCTCGTCCTGTTTCGCCTCGTCCTCCCTCCCTCCCTCTCTTCTCCGCGTTTTCGCCAAGGGGCTCGCTTGCGCTTGCAAAAAGAGTGCAGATGACGCCACGTCATGGCTCACTGCGTCCGTCCACCAAAGCGGCGCCACACGAGCGCCGTTTGTCCTCAACGCGCCCAAGGGAACGACGCCGACACCACGGCAAACCCACGGCAAACCCTGCGTCCCGCGCCCACGTAGGCGAAGCCGGGACCGCGGCAAACCCAAGAACAAACCCACCGCGTCCGAGGCAGCATTAGCCTTTCTGGCCGCGGCGCCCTCCCCAAGACAGAAGGCCGCGCGCCAGAGCATGCGGCACATTGCCCCCTGGGTGTCCCCAAGAAACATCCCCTGGACCTCTCCCAGGAGTGTCGACGAGGAACGGGTACCAGTATAGGCTTCGTTTTCTCCCCTGGCCTCTGCCTCCTGGTGAACGTAGATCGTGGTCTTCTGATACTGAGCTCGGGCCCCGATCCCCTGCAACTACAACGGCACGCGCGCGAGGCGGATCGGCGCCGCGGTCGCAATGCCAATCATAAGGCATGTCGGATCTCGGGACCTATGGTATTCCAACGCCCCGAGAGCTCGCTTGAGCACATCTGATGGTCAGCGCGGCCGACTTTGGAAACCTTGGATCCAAACATGTTGACATCTCACTTGTATTCCCGTCGTCTTCCGACAGCGGAGCCGCTGTTCTCCACCAGACTCCTGGCGGCTTCCACTGGAGGCGAAACGCCCTGAAGACGAGGCATTTTCTGCACGCCCCGAGTGTCTTGAGCTGCCCTTGGACCTGCACATCGAGACGATTCCCAGGGGCAACTGCAAGAAAGGCCATCTCGCAGTCTAGAAAGGTAGAAGCCATCTAGCTCTCGCACGCTGCGAGGCGCACGGCCACCTCCGTGTCCTCGCGCCGCCATCCAGAGAATGACGCCTCCGCGGCACGGGCCGCGAGGCGCGAGGAGTGGTTCTGCGAGCGCGACCGTGCGGCCGACCCAAGGGCAGGAACGAAAACAATGACATGAGCCTGGCCATCGCCCGGACGTCCATTCCCTGTGCTTTTGTTCCGGTTTCGTGCGTGATTGTTTCGCCAAATGATCGAGGATGCTCCTAGATTTTGGGGGGCGGAAAGATACGGATACGTGTTGTCCCCGGACCTCTCTTGGGGTGCGTTCTGACCAGAATTTCGAGGCGAATCCAGCGGTGACAACGAGGATTCCCCAGGGGGACCAGGAAAGGCCGAAAACGAAGGGGGACAACACGTATCCGTATCTTTTTCTCCCCCGAAGATTGTCCTCGCCGAATGAAAAATGCACGCGTCCGAACAGTGCCAAGCAGAAAACAATGCCGAACAGTGCTCGGATCGGCGCTGGGCCCCCCTGCCCCCCACTGGCGGCGCCCCTGGCGCGGCACCCGGCGCGCCCCCGCCCGCCAGGGGGTGCGGCCCAGCGCCGGCCCGAGAAATCTGCGCGGATGTCCGGCTGCTCATCTTTATTGAAGGGGAACTGGGACACACAAATAAATACACACAAATAACATATCCCCCATATTTTTCCATATTTTCTGGGTTTTTGTCTTCGCCCCCACTTCCCATATTTTCCCATACCTTTTGGGGAGTCGACGATTAATTGTGTCTGTGTGTTTCTTTCCCTCCTGATTTATGTCATTGCGTGTTCTTCGATCAATGTTTAGGTTCGGCGATAGCGACTACAGGCGGTCCACGGCCACA